AAAGCAACTGAGGGGACTTCAGGCTGGTGGAGCATGTGCTCCACGATGGAACGTCCCACTAATCACATGTCTTTAAGCTCTAGAAAGTTGTGAGAGGTCCTGCCCAGGGGCAGATTAAACCCATTTTTGTGCATTCACAGAGACCATGAAGAAGAACGCATCATAATTGCTGTGGGCATGATATAAACCTATGCAAGACTATTCAAAGAGTATATTGCCGTTTTGGGCTCGGGTGCAGCGGGCGGTGATAAAGCCTTCATCAAGACAGAAAAACAGTTTTAGCCAGTAGAGAGTTCTACCATCCACCCAATTAAGGTACAATAGCACATAATGTCAAAATTTATTCCAGACTTTCTGAGGGTGTCTAATGAAAGAAAGCTGTTGGGTTTTTAATATTATTTCCAGCTTGTTACTTTCCAAAACAAATTGTTAGAAAGAGGAAACATCCAGGATGTTTCCAAATTAAGCTTTTTTATTGTGTAATCAACCCTGCCTCAAATGTAAAATAGAAATTAATGAGGTGCAACTATATTTGGTTCTGGCGATCAGTCCATTTGGAGAGTGGGGTAGATGAGTAGGAAAGAGTCTAAAGTGCTCCTGGTTAGGCTTCTGGCTTTCTACAGGATTCTGGAATTTGTTTCATAAATGTAGATACTGGGCTTTCCTTTAATGATCTGTATAATAACAAAGGTAGATTCCTACCTTGGAGTAAGTTAATTTTATGCCACCAGAAACTAGAAATTTGTTCTTTGAGCATTTGTTTCCACCAGCTATTAGATGTGTTGTTGTTGTCATAGACCATCAAGTCACCACCAACTTATGGCAACCCTATACATAAACAGCCTCCAAAATGTAAACTCTTGTAAACTCAAGGCTATAGATCCCTTTAGGGAGCCAATCAATCTTGTATTTAGCCTTCCTCTTTTTTTTGGTTGCCTTTAAGCTTTCTCAGCGTTATTGCCTTTTTCAGAGAATCTTGCCTTCTCCTGATGTGCCTGAAGTAGGACAGCCTTAGTTCCATCGCTTTTCCCTCCACATATAGTTCAGGCTGATCAAGGACCTACTCATTGGTCTTTCTGGCAGTTCAGGGTATCTGCAAAGCTCTCCTCCAGCACCATATTTCAAACAAATTAGTTTTTTCCTGTCAGCTTTCTCTACTATCCAGCTTTTCATATGGTGATTGGGAATACAATAGTGTGGACAATCTTGTTCTTGGTTTCCTGTGACACATCCTTAAACTTGATGATCTTTTCTCATTCCTTCATTGTTGCCATTCCTTCATTGTTCCAAGTCTCAGCCTTCTTCTGATTTCTTGGCTGCAGTCTCTTTTAGATTTTAGACTGGATGACTGAACCACAGTATACAAAACCTTTAGCCATTTTCATTTCTTCATTCTCAGAATTAAAGTTTTGCATTTCTCCCGTCGTTATTATTTGTGTCTTCTTAATGTTCAACTGCAGTCCTGCTTTGACAGTTTCTTTTTTCAGTTTCATTAAAAGTGATTTCAAGTCATCGTTTTCTGCCAGTAAGATGGTGTCATTCACATATCTTAATTTATTAATACTTCTTCCTCCAATTTTCACTCCTCCTTCATCGGAATCTAGTCTAGTTTTCTATATGAGAAGTTATGCATATATATAAGGGGATAAAATACACCCTTGTCTAATACTTTTGCCTACAGGAAACCATTCTCTCTCTTGATATTCTGCCCTAATGGTAGCTTGTTATTCACAATGCAGGTTATATATCAGGCGAAAAAAATACTGAGGCACACCCTTTTCTTTCAGAAGAGGCCATGGAACCTATGGTCCACACTGTCAAAGGCTTTGTTGTCGTCTATAAAACATAGACTGATCTTCTTCTGATTTTTTTGTGTGTGCTGCTGTAAGCCAGCAGATATTTGCAATGATCTTGAGTGCCTCTTCCTTTTTGGCCAGATCTTACATTATAGCCCCTAACTGCTTGTGCTAAATCTTGCCTCAATATTAGAGCCACTCCATTTATTCTGGGTTTATCATTTCCAAAGTAGAACACTTTGTAGCCGTCTGACTGAAAATAACCAATTCGTGTCCACTTTGTTGTTTTTTAGTCATTAAGTCGTGTCCGGCTCTTCGTGACCCCATGGACCAGAGCACACCAGGCCTTCCTGTCTGGTGCATCGCCATTCACTTAAGTTCATTAAAATCAAGGTTTATATGTTCCATTCCAGTTTATGATTTCAGTTCACACATACCACACTCCAAGTCTATGTGTTGTGCAGCATCAAACTTTCCTTTTACTTTTGTGCATGGCAGCCATTAGACATCCTTTCATCTTTAATCTACCTGTGTCATTAGCAACAGAATTATTCATACTTGTTCTCTGCACTTTCTCTGTTGCTGTTTCAGTGCTTTCTGACCTAGAAGTCTCATCTTCCAGCACTATACCCAACACTACCTCTTGGACTGTCTCCTCATAGGATTTTCACGGTAAGGAAAGTTCAGCAGGGGTCTATTGTTGCTACCTTCGGTACACTATTAACAAGTTATATTGAGTGTCACTGCTGTCACTGATGTTTTAGGTCAGTGTAAATGTAACTGTGGGAAATATAGCAGTGAACTGCTGCTAATTACCAAGCTGTTGTTCACATTCCTAGTCATGTGCCAAGTCATTCAACTAGCCAGTGATGAGAAATGTGAATGGCAATGCACCAATTATTGGGGCGTCACCACTGGAGTTTACACAATAACACTTCTCCTACGATAGGTCTGTAGTAGGATTGTGGCCAATGTCATCTTCCTCTTGTAACCTTCCCCTGTTTCTTCCACTATTCTCACCCACTCCAGTAGTGAAACTACATTGATTCACTTTACCATCTTTCTTTCTTGCTGGCTTGCTTTCTCCCTCTCTCCCTTTCTCCCTCTTCCTTTCTTTCTTGCTTTTTCATAATTCACATAAGTAGACAGTTGCAATTTATACCTGACTTCCACTGAAAGGGATCCCATGGAGAGCAGAGGGGGTGTGAAGGGCATCGGCACGCAGAGACATAGACTGCATATCCAAAAGCCCCTGAAATATGCAAAGCTTCCTCTCCCCCCCCCTTGTGCACTTGTCATAATGAGATATTTTACTAGTTGATGCAATGATTTGAATTGGAAATCTGTCACTGCGTCTTCTACTCTACAGGAATATCTCCCGATCTGGAAAGGACCCATTTGTTCTAACATCACAGTGACCTTTATGCACCTCTAGAGAAAAACTGCCGGCTGGTAAGAAAACGATATAGAATAAGGCTAGAATAGTTAATGTATTCTCTTTGCCTAGAATGCTATATGGCCTCTCGCCCCTTGAGGCTCCTTACACCCGGGGTTTATTTTACCCATGCAGAATCATGTTTGGAGGATAACTAAGGAAGATTTACTCTGGTGAGAGAAACACCACTTTTTCCATGTTCCAGCCCGCCTGATTGGCAGCAGCTGACAATAAAATTAAGTGCAAAGCCAACTGCTGCTTGTGGTGCAAAAGTAATTTCTCTAAAGTGAAGGCTGTATAAGTGCATAAAGAAAAGAGACACTTAAGAGCATTAGACGATTCAGTGGCTAAAAACCGGCCAAGAGGACCCTGTAGCAGAGCTTGGTCATGTCTCTGTTTTGGACTGCGAGTCTCAGATTCCCCCACTCAGACATGGGATTTGTAGTACTTAAAAAGTGACGCCTCCTATTCTTATGGAATGTAACTCCCATACATTCAAGCCAGCCTCCTTCGCCTCAAATTGAAAAAGGGGTGCACCCTGTCCACTTTTTATGGCGTTGCTCACACAAAGCAAAACACAATCTTGCTGTGAGTGTAGGAGAGAAAGAGGATTTATCCGGAGGTCTCACACATTTGCTATGTCTCTGCAAGTGGAGGATTCAGGCAGAGGTCTTGAAGAGTGTCTTTAGTTCTCAAGGGGGGGTGGTGGCAGAAATTGTCCAGGAAGAAAGGGCAACCACCCTTTCAAGATGGACTTGGCACAGAAGGGGACAGCTGCTTTTGACTATCGATTTCCCTCTCCAAACTTCCCGCATTGGACTTTTGCTCTCCTATAACATAAAATCCTCTAGGTGCCATCCAGCTGCTATCAGAAATTTAAGCCTACTTTTCAGAGAAGCAAGGCAGTTTATAGCAAAAGACGTCTGATAAAATCAAATCCCTTTGTGGGAGACACCAGATCCATCCAGGGGCAGTTTCAACTGTTAGGATGGTACAGCGGGGAAAAAAACCTCACCAAAAATCATGTTTGGCTATGTAGTAGGCAGTGTGAGCAGTTGCAAAGAAAACCACAGGGATGTTTCCAGATGAAGGGGTGGCAGGTGGGTCCACGAGGAGGGAGGGGCATTCCCCTGCCCCCACCTTGAGCTACCTCTCTTCCCCAAATCCCCAAATTATTAGGTTTACCACCAGTTCCCCACTGAGAATTCTCATGGGACAGAACCATCTTTGGGATATTAAAACTGGCCACGGGCAAAACACTAGCCTGCATGAGAATGCAATCATAGGGTGAAAGAGAATCCACAATGGATCACTCTGGGAAGGGTGGCTTCATTGGGTACCGTCTCCTTTAAATCGACTCTCCTGATCGGCTCTCGATCGCTCCAGCCCTGCTCCCTGAAAAAGAACAGCTCTTGGCATTGCTCCAAAAAGGTCCGGATCGGCCACAGAGCAGGGTCGTACCGTTTCCGGATGTCCTGTACATCATGGTTGCCAGAAAACAGCTCAAACAGGACTGTGCCAGATGCTTTCCAAAAGGCACGCTTTATCATCATATGATCCCACCCTGAATCTTTTACTGGTGCGTTTTTGACCCATTCCTTTGCTACCCACCAGGTTCTGCCTGTTCCAGCTCTAACAGAGAGGAAGGCCACCGCCAAGGGGGAAAGTAGAACTTTTTGTTGAGAAAGGAAATGTAATTTATTTCCTCTCCCCTGCAGCATATAGAAAGGTTTCGTGCTCGCTTTTCATTATCATAAAAAGACCCTTACCAGAGAGTGAGTAATCGGTGTTTGTCATCCGCATGGCGGGCGTGTAGGAGACGCTTGGCATGTCGTGGCCCTTCTTCTGCTTCCGTCGATACCACACAAACAGTGCCAGCAAAACCATAATAATTAGCAGGAGGATAATAATTCCAATTATTGCTCCCACTGAATGCCTCTCAGATCCAAGAGCGGGACTAATTTTAGTATAGGGATTTAATTCTTCCATCATGAGAGCGGCTGTTAAAAATAATTCACAATGCACGGTTAAACTGAGTGGCAGAGTCCGTTCGCAGGAAAAGTCTTTGTGCGGCATAACTGGCTCTCCCTCCCTCCCTCCCTCCTTCTCTCCCTGCTTCTCATCCCCACTTTTGATTTTGTCAAAAGCTAGGAGTCAGAAAAGCATAACCGGCTCTCCCTTCCTCCCTCCCTCCCTCCTTCTCTCCCTGCCTTTCTCAGCTCTTTGGAGTTACACTGGCTCCACGTATGGGTACTGAACGGACACCTTTGGTAGCCCAGAGGCTTCATAGCCCACTGCCCCCTCCAATTATATTTTCTGGGTATTGGGGGGTGGGAAGAAGAGGGGAGTTGCAGCTCACAAAGACTAACCCCCCCCACAGTCTCCAAACTCATTTGTCTAGCCTCTCACCCACAAGGAACCCTACACACAAGGAAATTCTGAAATTTCTGAGGAGGTTAAGATGGCTGGGGAGAGCAGGCTCAGGCTATAGGCTCTGGATCGGGGGGAGCTTACTCTAGAGCAACAGATTTCCTTCTGTGAAATAGGTCTGTATTCTCAATCTCAACCACAGCAGCCTGCTGGCTGGAATCAGACATCTGAGAAATTCAGCTTTCCCTTAAAAGCCTCTACTGCTCACGGACCTCTAGCCAAGCTGAGAGACTCCGTAGATTCCCTTTCCTCCACCTCAGCCCCAAAGGCATCCCCCACCCCTTTCCAGCAGGTCAGCGGCCGTGGGCTTGGGCCGCCCGGGGCGGGGAAGTCTTGTACCTCCTCTGAGGGGCTGCCCAAAGGAAGGCTCGAATGTTCAGCCAAAAAGAAAGGGAGACAGAATTTTACCTTACCTTGATCACACCGGATTCCTTTGAAACCCGGGCTGCAGTAACAAGTCCCTGTGACATAGTCGCAGGTGGCATTATTCATGCATTCGCACAACTGCTGGCAACCGTAGCCAAATGTTCCGGGTGGACACTCTACAAAGACAGAATATGAGAAGAGACTAGAAAGGGCCATTTGCACTGGGGCACACAGGGAATTCATGCCCGCAGCCCCTTCTGAAGCAACTTGTTCCCGGGGCGGGGCGGGGGGGGCTCTGAAAAAACATGGCCATATCCCATCCAGTTTTTCAGTCCCTGCACTGCCATGGGGCCCCTCAAGTATGTGTGTGTGTGTGTCTGACATGGAGGTTAAAATGATAATGATGGCTCCTGCAAGCCCCCAGGAACACAGATTCTCATTGCTAAGCAGGGTATGTGTGTGTGTGTGTGTAGCATTTCTAGGGTCTGTTTAAAACCAGATGTGAGCTTCTGATAATTTCTGGTTCGGACAAAAAGTTACAAACATCCATTTTCAAAGCGGTGTGGCCTGCAGGGGAGAAAACCACACCCTGAAACCACAAAAACGGCCCATCTCTGGGTTCAAACGGGCCCACGGGAGGTCCCTGTTTTGATCCTCACCGAGCAGGATCCTCACCAGGCAACTTTGACCGGCCATTGCCTCTCCGCCTGGCTCAACTCACAGGCCTAAGAGGACAAAGCAGGTTGTGGAAAGCCAGTTATTTTTGACTTAAACCCTTCTATGGCTTTTCATCAGACCCGAAGGATATCTTTTGGGCGGTCTAACTACGTGGCCTACACAAAATTCACCTTCTGGTCTCTCGGAGCCAGCCCAGTTCTTTTGCTTTGTTTTGACCTACAGAGCAAATCATTTGAAAGCTTTTGACATGTTGAGCTCAGAAATTTTCGTGTTTCAATTTATGTTAGAGTGTTATGGACAGGGCTCAACGCTTCATTGTTCAGGAGCTAAGCTGTCTGGGGGAATCTGGATAGATAATCTCAATGAAAACCAAGATGAGGAGAGAGAAGGGGGAGGGAGAGAAGGGGGTACAGAAAGAAGGGAAAAGGTACCAGGGTGAAGCTGGGACTTGTGGGATTTTAAGCCAAATCCACTGGCTAGTAATAACTAAAATTAATCAATGGCCAGACAGCTCAGAGGGGGGCCCTGACAGAGAACCTACGGTCTAGAGTCCCTCAAAAGCAGTAACAAAGCTAACTTTAACACTGGGTCTCTTCCTTTTTCTCTCCTCCTAAATGACAATCTTCGGTTTCCCCCGATTTCCATCGCAGACAAAACGATTGAAAGCCGGTGACAAAAAATTTATTCAACCAATTACCATGATGGTCTAGGGCCATAAATCTGCTGGCAGCTGATTGTATATCTTTAGGCAACGGTTGGCAACAAACAGAAAGCAAAGCTGTAAACCCGCTTGGCCGTTCTCCAGACTCGTACTGAGAGGGTCCATGCAGCCACCGCCACCCGCCCACCCCACCCCCCATGTTATCCATGGTCACCCTCCAGCAGCCTCTTCAAGATCCAGCCTTGGTTGGAGCCATCAGAACCCATTTGTGCTAGAGATGGGCGCCAGCCACTGCTTTGGTGGTTTGGTGTGGTTTGTTTACTGGCCGAGCAGCTGAATGCCAGTTTGATACCCCGCCCCTTCTAGCAGGCAGTAGTACCCAGAGAGGAGGGCCGGGGCACTGCCACTGACCGGGCGGCCACTGGAGGGGCAGGGCACCGAACCACAGATCAACTCTTTGGATGGTATCCAGAAAAACTGTCAAAAGATGTATACAGATGTATCAAATGTCTGTTGGAAATGTGAAGCACACGTGGGAAGCTCTTATCATATGTGGCGGACTTGTAGAGTAGCGAAACAATATTGGATAGGAGTGCATACTGTGTTACAACAAATATTGCTTTGTTAAGGTTCCATTAACCCCAGAACTGTTTTTATTGAGTATGATACCAGATAGTATAGATAAAGCAAAGAAGTGTATAGTTATATATATAGTCACTGCAGCCAGAATTCTCTGTGCCAAAAATTGGAAAAGTCAGGCGGCACCGAAACAAGAAGATCTTACGGAGAAGATAAGGGAAACGGCAGAAATGGACATTCTATCAGTAGTGATGAAGGACTGTCCTTTACAAAAGGCAACTGAAAGATGGGGCCTGTTCTACAAATGGTTAGAGTCACCAGATAGTGCTCGAATACTGTAACATAGATCAAAGTGTGGAAGGCAAAAAATAGTAGAAAAGTGGAGTGTGAATCTTGATATTGCAGTATGAATAGAATGGATGTTAGTATATTTTTCTCTCTCCTCCCCTCCAACCCCAACCCTTTCCCCCCTCTTATCTTCTGTATCCCACACCCTAACCTAAGTTATCAAAACAATAAAAAAACCCTGTTCAGATGGTAAATGAACCGTGCCAAACCGGTGGTTCATGCTCATCTCCAGTTTGCACAGAATGGCGACCCCTTCCCAAATCCAGAACCATATTTCTCACTTAAATGAAAGGCCATCATCCAGTAGGGTGCTCAGGAACACTGGGCGCTGCGCTATGTTGAATCCTCCAAAAATGGGGCTCTCGAGTTCCATGCAGAATTCTCTCCTAGTCTGGGACTCTTTTTAAATCTTAGATGGTAAGAAACCGGGGCAAGTGGCATGGGGGTGATGTTTGAAGCACTGTGGCACAGTGGACGTGGGGCTTCTAGACCTCCAGAGCTACGAAACCCTCTCGGTTGTTGGGGTGGGGGGGAAGCCTTCTCTTTCGACTTGACCAACCAGACAGGGTTCGTAAGAAGGGGCGGCGGAGAAGGAAGGGCCATGTCTCAAGCTCAGTGGTGAAAACATTGTCTATAGCAGTCATGAATAAATGCTGCAATTTCTGTGGAATGAAAAAATCAAGATAGGTCCCAGCAACCTACTTTGTGTAGAAGAGCCTCCACTGGGTGCTGAGCCCTTTGTCCAATTCTACCGAAGACACTGCCAGGAAAAGAGAGCAGGGTGCCCTCTGTTAAATGGGCACCCCTCATCTTGTTCCCGGCTCCTCTTTTTCAATCCATTCCCCAGAGCCCTCTTCCTGGGCTAAATCCACACCACTGCACAGAGGTCGAGGGGAAGGCAAGCGGAGGGGGCTGTTCCGTCTCCCGGAGGCAGTCATTGTTTGGAGAGAGGGGGCAGCACGCCTTTGAGCACCAGACCTACTGGCCCGTCAGAGAAGAGGGGGCTGCTCGTGCCCTCCCCGCCTACAGCTGGCCAACCATGCTCCTCATTTTGTGAAAGCTCTGCATTCCCTGCCTACAGCTGGCCGGCTGCCGTTGAAAACGAGCCAACCATGCTCCTCATTTTGTGAAAGCTGGTTGGACTAAATGGTGAACTAGATCCTGGGCTGAAGGCTACGGACTAGACAGGCCTTGGGTCTGATGAAATGGTGCCGATCTTCTGACGCTCTTCTAGGAGGGCAGGTGAGCAGGCAAGGAGCAGGGGTAGCAACCATCGAAGACCCTAGCGATGGGCAGTGGGTCCCCAGCAGAAGTGGGAAACCTAGGTATTACCTGATGATGCTGGCCTCTCATATCTAGACCAAACGAAGGTCGAAGAATGGTGTCTTGGAGCCAAAGCTTTTTGGGTAATGGGGGCCATGCCACCTCCCTCAGACTTTGCTGCTCCCTAAGTGTTTAGCTGCAATCTTTGCAGCAGCTGGGGAAGAAGTGGATTTTCCCAGGAACAGAATGTCAGATAGCGCACTATTTCAAGGTAGTTTGGTTTTAAATAGGCAAATAAGAGCCATTCATTTTACTAAAGACCTGCTCCTCTTTTCTTTAAAATGACTGATCTGCCTGCCTGTGTTTTTCAGCTCCCCTTCGGTCAGCAGTGGCTCTGGAGACTGCAAAAGTAAACACCTGCACTTCTATATATTTATTGCCAAACCACAGCTGGCAAACAGAATGACTCTTATCCAAATTAGAATAACCACATGTCATAAATGACTCTGCAGGAGCCTTGCTACTTCCTTATTTTGGCAGTGCTTGGAAAATTTAAAAACAAACAAACAAATAAAAAAAAACACCGCCCTGTGGTGTGTTATTTCACAACTCCCAGAATCCCACAGTCCACATGACTCTCAGCCAGACTAACTGGGGGATTCTGGATACTGTAGTCCCAAAATGTCACGTTTTCAAGTTCTACAAGATATTTTTCCCAGCTAGCCAGAAAACGAGAAGTTCTGCAGAGTAGAAGGAGAGCCGGAGAGCCCGGAGGCCATCTTGAGCCGGAGTTCTCCTCAGCCAGTCAGCCTTAAAGGCAGAAGGCCGTTTCGGTTCGAAGCACAACCTGAGGGAAAGGTTTTCCAAATAGTGGATAGAAGGCTTTCCTGTCGCAACTTACTCATCTCGCACTGTTTTCCTGTAAAGCCCGTCCGGCAGGTGCACTGCCCAGTGATGTGGTCACAGTCGGCTCCATTCTGGCACTGGCAGACATTGGCACAGCTTTTTCCATAAAAGGCAGGCGAACATCCTGAGAAACGCAGGAATTCAGAAAGACAGAAGAAAACATGAGGGCAATGAATGGATGAAGTGTCAGTGAGCCATGAAGTTCTGAAGGTGACCTGAAGCAGCTGTCCTCTCTCATGCTAACCTACCTCACAAGACTGTCATGGTGAAAAACTGGGGTGAGCCAGAACCATTTATGATGCTCCCTAGCAAAAACGTGGATTGTAAGTGGCTTATAAAAATAAATGAAATAATATTGTCATTTTATCTTATAAAGTCACTTCCAACCTAGGGTGACGGTACGAATTAATGATGAAATGTTTTAGAGGCCATTAAAAGCCCTGCTTAGCTTTTGCAGATTAAGTAAAATATTAACAGTATGGGGGGAAACGACCAAAATCCTGTTCCAATTTTATGCCAGTGCAGCCTGATTAATACAAATGTCATTGGTGAATCACTGTATAGTAAGTTAAGAACTTAAGGCAGGCATTTGCTGCTATGTGACACAGTTCCTTTTGCACAATGCTTTCTCACAAACCCAAGAGAATTTTGGAGGGCTTTGCCACATTGTAAAAGGCTGGAGTTTATTTCAGAGATATGGGTCCCAATGGGAAGATTTAAGTACTGAGAATTTGTCTCTGAAGAAATAAAATGGACAAGATCGCTATCGGGCGTATCAGGCGCTTGGGGCTCGTCACACAAACTATCGGCGCCTTTAGAAATATTTGGAAAACAATTGTGTAAACAATGGGTTCATGAATTATACAAACCGTGGAAAACTGAAACATAACGACCAGTGGCTTTGGAAATACAGTGGTGCCTCGCATAGCGAGGTTAATCCGTTCCGGATTAACCTTCGCTATGCTGAAGCATCGCTGAACGGGGCAGCGATTTCCATTGGAACGCATTAAACATCGTTTAATGCGTTCCAAATAGGCCAAATACTCACCGTTCAGCGAAGCTTCTTAATGGCCGGCAGCCATTTTCGCGCCCTCGCCTCGCTTAACGAGGGCGCGAAAACGCTGCGCGCGGCCATTTTAGGCCATTTCCCGGCTTCCGGCGGCCATTTTGGCCGCCGAACAGCTGATCGGCAGGGGTCGTTTTGCGAAGATCGGTAAGCGAAACGCTTACCGGTCTTCGCAAAGCGAATTTTTCCCTATAGGAAAAACGTTGTGCGATCGCATTAGCGATCCGAAAAAACGGATCGCTATGCGATTTAATCGTTATACGGTGCGCTCGTTAAGCGAGGCACCACTGTATCTGGAAAACAATTTTGAAAGCAATGGGGGCAGAAATCGTAGGAACGGTGGGAAATGGTATTGCAGCTGATCACAACTCTTTATGATCCCATTACCCTAAGAAATATTGATGACTGGAAAGAAGCTGAGTTGTGTGAGCCCTTGTCATAGAATGCTACATATTTTGTTCAGTAAAATAGCTCAAATAGCCCAAGTTTGGGAGTTTGATGCCCCAGTCTGCCTCCCTGATAGGGGCTGGACTCAAGGCTCCATAGGGTTCCTCCCAGCTCTGCAATTCTCAGATGATGATGATGATGATGAAAATGATGAAGACAATGGAACCAATGACCTCGAAAGGACCAGAGTGCTCCAACCACACTGGAGGCGTTCAAGAGAAACTTAGACAACCACCCAGTAGATATCCTTTGATTTGTATTCCTACAAAGAGCAGGGGGTTGGACTGGATGACCTTATGGGCCCCTTCCAGCCAGACAATGATGATGAAAATGATGAAGACAATGGAACCAATGATCTTGAGAGGTGGTGAGTGCTCCAACCACACTGGAGGCATTCAAGAGAAACTTAGACAACCACCCAGTAGATATCCTTTGATTTGTATTCCTACAAAGAGCAGGGGGTTGGACTGGATGACCTTATGGGCCCCTTCCAGCTTCACGGTTCTATGATTTGATGAAAATCAGAGGCCTTGTCATAGAATGTTACATGTTTGGTTCAGTAAAATAGCTCGGCGGTTTAGGTGTCTGGCTGCAGAGTCCATGTGCCTCCTTAATAAGGACTGGATGATCCATAGGGTCCTTTCTAGCTCTGAGGTTCAGATGATGATGATGATGATTAAAATCAGAGCATAAATATATATTCATTTGCAGTGTGAATAGAGAGGAAACAAACGTTATGGTTTAGGTGTCTGGTTGAAGAGTCCATGTGTATCCTTAATAAGGACTGGATGATCCGTACGGTCCTTTCTAGCTCTGAGGTTCAGATGATGATGATGATGATTAAAATCAGAGCATAAATATATATTCATTTGCAGTGTGAATAGAGAGGAAACAAACGTTAAGGAAACACATGAGTGTGAACTTAAAGAGCAAATAATTGTAGGATCATACACAGCGTTTTCTATAATTTAAATTTTTCCTTTCCATGGCCCCTGGATGATGTAAACTTTTTAACATGTGGCAAACGGCCAACAAGATTTAGGCTGTAACTTAATAGGATATTTGGCCAATATGTTTTGAAACAAAAGTTTACATTTAAAAGGGAGAAATGCAGAATCAAATAAAGACAGACCGCGGAAAAGTTACGGAAAACAAAGCCAGACCTCCCGGAATCTCTAAACCAGCATAGCATTTCCAGGAGCTGCCGTTCCAATAAGGAACTTTTCCAGAACTCTGTCCAGGCTGTGGTAGCCGCATGATCTGGGAGGCCTTAAGGTGTGGCGGCTCCTACCGATGGGGAGTTGTGATGGAAGAGAAGCCCATCAGCTTCTCCCTGCTGCGTTGTAGAGGAGGCATGGAGCCGGAAAGAGTCAGAGGCTGAGTGATTTACAGCTTATAAAGATGTTGTGAAAGTGAGGCTTCAATTTAGACTTTTTGGTCACTAATGATATAAAACAGGGGGAGTTGTGATGGAGGAGAAACCCATCAGCTTCTCCCTGCTGCGTTGTAGAGGAGGCATGGAGCCGGAAAGAGTCAGAGGCTGAGTGATTTACAGCTTATAAAGATGTTGTGAAAGTGAGGCTTCAATTTAGACTTTTTGGTCACTAATGATATAAAACAGGGACGGGGAGTCTGTGGACTTCCAGAGGTTCCACCAGCCCCAGCCAGCAAATGATTAAGCATCATGGGAACTATAGTGCAAAAATAACTGCCATATTCCCAGCCCTTAAATAGAACAACTTTCAGATTTTAGCTGTTTCCTTCAGATCAAAATATTTCCATTTCTAATTAGTGCTGGAACACTGGATGAACACAACTAAATCAAAATAATTTCCTTATTTACCAAATCAAGAAAACAAAGAAATTGGGGGGGGGGGGCTGACTTTGGTCTGACTTTGTTTTTTAACAGAAGGGATTTTTCGCTATGAAAGGACCAAGAAGAGGGTAAGGAAAACAACATTCCCATGTTCTCACAGAACTAAAATAAAGACATGGTTACCCTAACTCAAGGCGGCAAAACTAATAGGACTCAATTCATACAATTAAGAATTGCATTGATTTTTTTTTTTGAAACAGTATAAAATGCTATGTAATACTATACAAACTCAATTTTTGTTTTTGTTGTTTTTTTTGTTGTTGTTTTTTACCATTAACTTTCCTATTAATATCTGCATAGGGTTCCCCCTTCTTCCATTCAAGAGTAAGCATGCAAAATCCTGCAATGCTAGATGTGGGCACAAGGGGGCAGTGCGTACTTTCCCCAGATTCACCCCCAGGTTCTCCAGCGCCCGAACGGTTAGTTGTTCACTTACGCTGCGTACAGTAGGGTCCGCTCCAGCCGGGGGTACATCTGCATTCCCCGTCGTGAGGGCTGCACGTCGCCCCGTTGTGACAACTGCACGAATGGAAACAATCTGCACCCCAGAAGCCGACCGGACAAGCTGGAAGGAAGGAAGGAAGGAAGGAAGGAAGGAAGGAAGGAAGGAACGGAGGGAGGGAGGGAGGGAGGGAGGGAAGGAATGAAGGAACGAAGGAAGGAAGGAAAAAGGAAGAAAGAGAGAAGGAAGGAAGGAAGGAACGAAGGAAGGAAAAAGGAAGAAAGAGAGAAGGAAGGAAGGAAGGAAGGAACGAAGGAAGGAAAAAGGATCCCAGTATGCTTGCTGGATATTTTAGTGCCTTGGACTTTTATTGCTTCTGCAGTTAGCATCACCCTCCCAGCAGACTTTAGAAAGGCGGAGGACAGACAGGGAAGGAGGA